AAAGAGAAAACATTCCAGATAACTGAGTTAGCATTTCAGTGAGTAAACCGGTGGTCATGCCAAAGGGGGGGTACAGTGGGCAGTGGGCCAAAGGCAGTGCCCTGCAGGGAGGGTGGGGAGACCGGGAAGCCCTCGAGTGAGGGGGGACCCTGGCTGTCACAGAGAGCCCCTGAAGACCGGTTGGGAGGGCTCAGGGAACCTCTGAACACACAGAGAATCCCACCGTAACCCGGGGAATCCAGTGACACCACCACCCCCCCCCCCTTATGGGGGGTTGTAAACCTGACCCAGGAAAATAATGGGGGGGAGGGTAAGATAAATACCAAAAATGAATTTGCAGTCTGCAGTCACCGGCTGGCGGGGGGCCAGGCCGGGCTGGGACACCCAGGCCTCCCTCTCGCTCCAGGTCCCTAATGTAGGCCATAGATCTGGAGGTGGCCCTCTAGTGGGGGGGGCACTGTCCTCCCAGGGTCCCTCGCTCTCTGCGGTATGCTCCTTGCAACCCTGGAGTGAAAAAGAACCTCAATGTCCGCACCTTAATTGCCACCCACGGGCCCCACAGTCGCCAGGGTCACCACCCTCTCCAGGACTGCATTCCCCCCAAGTAAGCTCAACTGGTGAGCCCTCCCTGTTCGTTAGTCTCTGCGCCAGCTCCCACACACTCAGGCTGAGAGAGAAGTCAGTGTCACTTTGCAGCCTCCGCCCCACCTCGCCCCTGCAGCCCCTCCTAGAGCTCCCTGCACCCCAAGTCCAGCAAGCACTTCTTGGCCTCTCCAAGATCGCGCCAGGCCTGCCCGCTGCGTCGGCTGAATGCTGAGGCAAAGCTGAGGTCGAGTTTGCACAATAATAAACACAGCCAAGTTTGGGCATGGGCGGGACACGGGGAGGAGACATGGCCTCTGGTAGGTGTGGCCCGATAGTAAGGGGAAAGAGAGAAGTGAGGTCCCAAATTCTAGCCAAAGGTGCGCACCCCAGCTCCGCGGCAATTTGCAAAGTCCCCGCTGTAGAACTCTGGACCTGGTCCCGTCCCAGCCGGCTCTGGCACAGTGGTAAACCCAGGTAGAGCTTGCAACGTCAGCCTGGGAAAGGCTGGAAGGAACCCTGCCCTGGGCCTATGTCCTTATTTCCGGGGAGTGCAAGGCACAGTTCCCTCGCCTGAGAGCTGATGCGCCCTCGTGCGGAAGCTCTGTTGGCTAAGGACACAGTGGAGGCCCAGTGGGGACAGTGGAGCCTGGGAGATGGCCAGGCGGAGTGGGTTTCCCAGATGAGGATTCAAAAAGGTTCAGAAGCCTCAGATCCCTAAAAAGTTCATTTCCAAAGTCAGCTGCTGAGAACTCACCTACAGCCTGCAAGACAGCCCTGCCTGTGGGCCAGCCAGCTGCTCCCGCTCCCAAACCAGAACCGGAACCGTCCGGCAAGGCACGCCAACCCTGCAGCCAGAGCAGACTGGGCTCACTCAAGGTTTGGGGAGTCGAGTCGGCACTAAGCCCAGGCCTGGGACCAGACGCATGAGTGCTCCTTGGGGAGCCCGGAGGAAAGAGACCTCTGAGAGAAAAGGCTGAGGGCTGAGAGAGGGGAGGTCCTCCTCCTGGGAGAAAAAAGGTTGAGGGCTGAGAGAGGGGAGGTCCTCCTCCTGCCCCAGCACCCCTGTCCCCTGGCCCACCAAAAACTGAAGACACTCAGGCCCCCAGCCATCGGCGTCTTCCCGGGCATCTGCATCCGTCTCCCAACTGTGAGGGTGGTCCACAAGTGAATCGCACACTCTGGCCGGAGGAGTGGGGCCGGTGGAGCCTCACCCTGCCTACACCCTGGAGCACCCGGGTGCTGACCGATGGGAGGAACACCAGAGGGCTGAAGTGTGCCA